ACTCTGAAATCAAAACACAAGAAATCCAAGGGTTAGTCTAAAAAAGTTATAATCTTTCCACAGTCACTCCTTTAGAACAAATCTCCCTCCCTCCCTCTCCCCCTCTTCAAAATATTGAAACACAGAGGAAAAACTCAGAGACAGAGAGGAGCTTCTTGGAGGTATTGGAGATTCTTGAGAGAGAAACTGTAAGAGAGTACAAATTCCGATGATGATGGCAATGAAACGGCTAAGCTTTTTGCTCGCCACTTCTTCTTCATCTCCAGCTTCTTCAACCTTTTTTGGGTTTCATTTTCAACGAAGCCAAATGAAAAATAAGGTTATGAGTCTTAAATCCTCCTTATTATTCTTCAACAGCAACGACAACCCCATTTGCTTCTGTCTTCATACTTCATGCAGATCTAGTAGCTTCAGACCTAATGAAGACAAAAAGGGTTGTTCTAGTTCATTTAGGAATATGAACGATGCTCTGTATGCCTTCAACCACATGATTCATTTGCATCCCCGGCCTTCTATTGTCGAATTCAGTAAATTATTGTCTGCAATTGTTAGAATGAGACATTATGAGACTGTGATTTCTTTGTCCAAACAAATGGAATTAGCAGGACTCTCTCATGATGTTTATACTTTTAACATCTTGATTAATTGCTTCTGCCACTTACATCGTGTTGATTATGGCTTCTCTGTCATGGCGAAAATCATTAAACTTGGTTTTGAACCTGATATTATAACTGTTTCTACCTTAATTAATGGGCTTTGTATAGAGGGTAAAGTTTCTCAAGCTATGGAATTCTTTAATGAAATGGTGGCAAGAGGATATCAACCTGATGTTCATGTTTGGACCACAATAATCAATGGACTTTGCGGAGAAGGATTGATAGATGAAGCATACAAAGCTTTCAGACAAATGGAAGAGGAGGGCTGCCCACCAAATGGTTTCTCTTATAATATTATTATCCGAGGATTCCTCCAGCAAAAGGATGCATCAAAGGCCCTGCAACTTATGCGCGAAATGAAGAGCAGAGGATTCTCTTTATTAGACACAGGCACCAGAACCATGCTGGTCCATGACAATCTTGTTCTGAAAAGATTATTAGGCTTTTGCGAAGGCCATCAAGGTGAAAAGGTGAAGTAATTGTTTCATACTCAATGTTGCTAATTAAGGCTGGCCAACATTAAGCGGCTTCTTGTTCAATTATAAGTTATTGTTACTTTCATCTTTACAAAATTTGGGCAATGTCAACAATTACATTTGTTTTATATGCTTTTTGGTTACCTGTTTGAGACTAGCGGCTGCCTCTTGTTGGATATACATGCCCATTTATTTATGTACGTAAATATGTGGCTCAAAAGAAAAATGCAATGAAATCCATTTAATTTTTCTCCAATTAATTAAACATATTGGTTTGGTTGTTATACTTATGATTGAAGCTGAAACTTATTGATATGTTGGCTATTTGCAGAAGGATAAGCACCAATATAAGGAAACAGTGATACATACATGTGTGTTTTTATATTGGAGCATCTTATCATAGCATGTGGTCTAACAGTAGAAATAATCTGATGCAATTTATCTTAATTGATTCACTTTATTAGGTGGTAGCTGCATTATCATACGGTAAAAACATGATAGATAGTGGGTTTACCAAAAGGACTTCTATTAAATTTGACAGGTTCCTAACAATTTATGGTAGTATGTAGAATGCATTGTGAGCTGGCTTTATGCTGATGGATTGTCGGTCTTTTGAAGATGGAAGGGATTTTAGTTTTTGTAAAAAAGAAATGACAAAGGAGACGGTAGGTTACAAGTTAAGTTTTCCCTAATGCTAATTCATGAAACTTATTTAAATTGAGAGTTTAATTTTAAAATGTCGAATGCTAAATGCTTATATGCTTCTCAAATTTGAGAGTTTAATTCTCTAAGATTATTTTGAAGTAGGGGCATATGCAGTAGTTTAATACTCTATGGTTATTTTGAAGTAAGGGCATACACAGTAGAGTTTGGATGGATAATAAAATTTGACTTTTGTGATGCAAGAAAGGAAGAAGATGAGATTTTCATTGTTGGAAGACATCAATCAACCTTATTGATCAGTTCTAAAATAGTACTGTAAAATTGATTGCTAAAACTTCCAAGTAAAATAGAACTTTGTTTCCCTACTGTTGTTGTACATTACTTACCCTATTTGGACCTGAATTTTTGGCTTATTTGTGATTTCCATGTCCTAATAAGAATTGTAATACTTAGATCCATGTTTGGTTCTTTATTTTGTTAATAAAAGAAGTCAATGCTTTTGTATATCCTCTTTTTTTTTTACCCCTCTCGAGTCAGTTTGTAAACAAAGTCGAGTAACTTTGAGGAAAGATTAGGGGAAATACTTATCAAATTTAACAACTAAACAGTTTGAATTTGAAAGATAAACTTTGGCATAATTTTGATTGACATTTTCTGTTTGAGATCATTTCTGTATGAAGTCATCTGGAATCAACAATTTAGCCACGTTAACAAATGTTTGTTATAATTAAAATTGAAGCTGAAAAGAAGGGCAATTTGCATTTGTTTTGTCTTAATTGATTCATAGCTGGAAGCTGCATCATAGAATGATGTTTATCTTGCTTGTTTGATCTTTCTGGAGACAGTTATATAGATCTTACTTTAAAATCTTGGGGTGGAAATGTAGCCAATTACTGAACTTGAAATTTGTGAACGAGTTGATTATGGTTTGAACTCTTAACATTAAGTTCATTTTTTACTGGAAGAATGCTGGTATAAAAATCTGTCATTCAAAGACTTTTTCTATGCCATGTAACAGTGGTATCTGAAACTGAATTGCTAGCACTAGTGATATCAAGCTAAGAAACATTGGTTTGAGTCAGAAGCCATTGAGGGAAATGAGGCCTTAAGAAACGTGGCTAGAATTGAAGCTAAAAAAAAATCTTCAAGAACCATGCTGTTATTCTTCTTCTATTTAACGGATCATTGAGGCTTCAAATTTGTTATTTAGTGTAGAAGCGTTAATGGATAACATAGTGCATACTTCAGTACGTTGATAAAGGCGTTTGTACATTTTCTTTTGCAGGCAAAATTTCATTGATTTAGAGGAAAAGGAGATGAGAAACCAGATGATCAATGAAGCTGAAGAGCATTATGAGCTTCATATGAGAGGCAGCAAAATTGCAAAAGTAACAAAGCTCCTAACAGAGAAAAAGAGAACATAAAATTTCTAGAAAGCCACTTTTCCCTGTGTTCTCTCTCACTCCAGCTGATGAAGCACATGCAGCTGCATATTTTTTTACACCATTTCCAGCCTTATTATCAAAGTAAAAATTTGAATGTGCTGTGCTTGTCCAACCAATAGAAATTCCGTGAAGCAGTTGACAAACACTACTGGAAACCCATTGCAGAGCTATCTCGTCGAGAGGTCCCAAATATTGAAAAGAGAAAGGGCAAGAAAGATGCTGAAAAGAAACCTTCCACCTCACATGATGCCTGCCATGTCCACGCCAAAGAGGGGAAGCATGCAAAAGGATTGGAAAGATCCAGGGTTGCATAAGATGCTGCCATCTGCCTCCGTAAACGTGCCTGTATCACCTTTTAAAGGATCTGCCAATAGATGGTGCACTCAGCTTGTCAAAACTAGTTGCTCTCTACTGCTGCTGGGGATGAGTAAGCTGCTGCAACTGAACCAGCCACAGCTTAGTGATGACTTACCATAGTTTTTCCTATTAATTCCTTTTTACCGTTTTAAGTACTCTGTTGTTTTAAGTACTCTGTTTCACCATCATTTATAGAAAATGAGAATTAAGGGAAGCTCTTTGTAGATGTCCTAGAGTCTGCAGCATAGCATGGGCTGTGAAATTGACCTTCCTAATTATAGAATTTTCTTGGCTTTAGATGCAAACTTTTTTTCTGATAATTTGATTCTCTCCCCCTCTGGATTCTAGATCTACCTAAATTTGTTCTTAAATTTTGCATTTGATTGTTACATTTCTGAAATTTGTCGTGAGAGTAATTAGTTCTTTACTTGAGCTAGAACCTAGTAGGGCAGGCCATGAGGGGTTAAATTTTGTAGGAAATGGTAGAAGCCACAAATTTGCATCTTCTTGCATGCTGCCATGATGGTAGCAGCAATACATAACTTTTTTTATTGTTTATCTTAAAGTTGATCTTGTGGATGCTTCTAATTTTGTATACTATCATGTGGTCTTTATGCTCCTTAGCTTCTCGTCGAATGGATTTTCCTCCTGAAAATTTCTTATATCTAGAAGGCATCAGTTCTTTCATTCCACTCTGGTATTCCTGCTCGTGTTCTTTTATTCCTGCCAACTTTATCATGATGATGTTCTCAAGTACAACTGCATTTTCCTTCGAATAATTGGTTTGAGAATATCCATCAAGTCTCTATTTGTGATTTCATAAATCAACGCTGCATTGAGTCTCTATCTTTCTTCTAATGATTGGCTTATTGTTGATGTTGCGGTGTTTATTTGTCTTGGTTAATTTCAGTGCCTTGTGTCTTGCATTCACTATAAGATATGACAGTAATATTCTCAACCTATTTAGATTTTAGGTGAGGAATGTTACACAAAAGCACTATTTATATAGTTGATTATTACAAGGATATCTTTAGAGAGTCAGCAAATATGATAAATATTTACAAAGAGTAAGGGTTGGAGTGGGTAACTCATCCCATGTCCTTATCAGATTGTTACAAGTGTGCCGTGAAAGAGTTCTTGTTGTTGCGAGACTTATAATTGCTGGAGTTCTCGTTGCTGCGTGAGTGTATATATATATATATATATATATATATATATATAACTTGAAATGTAATTATTCATCAATGTTGCAAATTGACTGGCATACATAAAAAAATTCTTATACAGCTGACTTCTTTTTAATAGATAATTCTTCTATAGCTTATACAGGTAATTCAAACCTAATTGACAAGGCAACAAGCATTAAAAAGAGAAAAAAAAAAGAAGAAGAGAGAACTGCGAAGTCACTGTTCTTTAGCTTCCTCTTGAGGTATGGACCTGGAACAGAACCCAATCATTAAAAGTTAAGGCCAATAACAATCACAGAAGATTGAACAGCGAAAGAATCTGGACAAAATTAGTTATAATATTATGAGATTTCAATCCATACATGATTTAATATGTCTTATTTTTTTCTTTTTTAGGAACTTTCAATTTGCTTGACAACATCATTTGACTAGCTGATCAAAAAGAAACTTTTTTTATAAGATAATAGCAGGAGCAATGAGGAAATATTGGATTATCCTTCCAACAAATACAAATTTACGAACTACACATCAGGTGTCCTAATTAACTGCCTCTGCAAAACTGGCTTCAATTTGTTCGAGCACAAGCTTGTGTTTATGCCAAGAACTAATTAATAAACCAAGCCGAAAGGCGGAAGACAATCGTTGCCTACCGATTAGCCTTCATCCAACGTGAGAGCTGATAGAGCTGCAGTGTCTCATTTGTTACATGGCATACAAGAAGGTGCAAGTTACGTGGCTGTACCATCCATGCAAACCTCATGAATACTGCTGAATAAGCACACATTGCTGCACCAACAATAGCAAATTCCATCTATATATAAGCTTAACCTTTATCGCTACAGATAAGTACAGGCAAACAGACCCAAAAAAAAAAAAAAAAAAGTCAGTTTTTATGGTGTCTTATTTCGAACAAAAAAAAACAAAACCTGTAGTCATGCTGCCTGATATCAATTCTGGGGGTTTCTTTGTATCTACAAACGCCTGTCAAAACCGATCAAGTCAGATCGGATACCTTGTTATATATTGAATGAACAGATATGATAAAGAGGACTATGTTTCTTGGTGAAGCAATAAATAGGTATGTAATAGGACGGGAGCATACTGCAATAGGGAGGCTCCATTTGAAAACAGGACCCCAGAAATGAGTTGTTTTGGGACCAATAGGACTATTCCAAAAGGTCTGGAGGAATTTCATTTTACCAGCTGATCGATGGCAACTTGGAATCCTGCAAATATAATGAAGAGAAGAATAAGAAGCACCCAGACTTGTGACATGAATTTCCAATCACGTATAGATAAAGAAAGATCCTGCACCATGTTAGAATTTCCTACCTTTGGATGGATTATGAAGTCTCAGAGCGACATATGGTGCAGAGATTGGGAATCTTCTAAGGATTCTCTACCAAGTGTGAATGATCAGAAAGGAATGGTTAGTGAAGCAAGTATCCTGTAAAAAAGGAACAAAAAGTTAGGACAAAGAGCACAGATCAGCAAACTATAGAATAACTTTTCTGTTCATGTTTTTCAATTGGCGAAAAGGATGTCCTGACAACTTATAAAACAGAAATTTCTTGCTATTGGCATGTCAATTTAATCTAAGGTACCAAAATCATAAATTATAGGCAGTGTTATGCTTGTGGTGCTTATTCAATTAAGATGGTGATGTTTTATCAGATAGTTAACAACTTACCATTATCTAAACCTCACCCTTGACCCTCCCCCAGCCACCCTTTTTTTTAGTACTTTGAGAAACAATTTCCACATTCCAATTAAAAGATGCATTAAATTAATCCGCGAACAATTCATATCAAACTTTGGTTGCTATACTTGCTAAGAAAAGGGTACTGCATATTTTTCAAACAGATTTCTTACAAGATTCTGACATATCCAAAGGTTCCACATTTTCTACAGATACAGCAATAGCAGGACATAGCGACAAACTTGGGCAGAGATTCCACGGTCCCATCTGATTTCTTAATGAACACATGTTCTAGAGCTTCTACATTTTGATCTAATCTGCCAACTAGGAGATTCTGAAACATTTAACTTTCTTTTTACCAACCCTCCATAGCTTCCACTGACCTTCAACACTATGAGACTCTGAAGGTATTAAGTAGTGGCGTGGGCTGGGGACAGAGGGGAGACTTTGCCATCGCTGGCCCAAAAGAAACCATGGTATTAAGTAGCCACCCCAGAGCCCAAACATTTTTACATTATTTTTAAATTATTAGTTTCTTAGCAGATGTTTTGCACATGTATTATTCAACTAGTTTACTTATTTATCGCGAAGCTTTAAAAGAATTTATGAAATTATTATAAATAAATAAATTTGAATTTTTTTATTAAATTAAAAATGTCTGGTTTTAAAATCTAAATAGTTTTATATAAAGTTTGAAAATTTATAATTTCCTTGAATTTTAAAACACAAAAAATCAATCATCATTAATTATCTTCCTATATTTAACACTTAGTAGTTGGGATATATAAATCATACGAACTCTTCAAAATAATAGTTTTATACACATGTTCATGTGTATAATATCCTCAACCTAAAATCCTCCTTGAATGTAAATATGTTTGTAAGAATAATTTAATTCATTAATAAAAGAATATTTATTAAAAGTGAGGAATGAAAGTTTATACTTAAATAAAGGATAAATTAAATACAAGCATGATTATTGAGGAAGGTAAAGAATTAATTGAAGTTTGAATTAGAGATTTACACTATTAATTTTTATAGTTATGCTTTGACGTAGGGATGTAATTGCAAAACCTTAGGAGCATAATTGTAACAATTAAAAGTTTGAATACTTGATTAAAATAATTAAGAAACTTTGGAGACCATAGTCAATCCAGGAAAGGCCTATGATAAGGGCTAGATTGTGAGAAATTGTGAAGTTAAAGATTAAAATTGGAGAGGCCGATTGCATGAATTAAAAATTTAGGGACTAAAGTGTAAAACTTTAGTGATTTGGGGGATTAATTAATTGGTTTTGAGAGGTTAATTTCAACATGAATAATCTTCCAAAAAAGAGAAAGAGAGAGAGAGAGAGAAAAGAGAGCCAAGTAATTATATCATTTTTGAATTATGTAAAATTTATCAAAAGGAATTATGTAAAATAATGAATTCTTTGTCAAAAGGAGTCAAGCTTAATAGCCAATTATCTAAATCAATAATTCAATAAATCATGATGTAATGATATCATTTTCGAATTTTAATTTTATTGGTTTTTTGGCTTGTTTCTAAATAATTTTAGAGTTTTGATAATCAAAATAAAAATCTAATAAGTATTATATAGGTTAGAAGTGATTTAAAAAAGTGTATTTTATGTTATATAAGGTCTTATATTGCGTATAAATAAGAAAATAAATAAATAATTGGATTTCCCTATTTTAGAATTTAGTAATTCTTTCAAGAAATTTCATTAGTGTTAGTCATTTTCTCTTAGAGTTGGTCTTGAATTTACATATTATTGAGATATTTTGTAATGTTAGTATTGTTTACTACCGTTATTAATAATCAATCAAAAAATTTTATAAAGAGTTAATTCTTTTCTATATAATCATGAATATGCTTATTAAATTCAAATGAAATCTCTAGCAAATGGACCCGTGGAAAAAACAAATATTTTTTTTAATTAACACTAATTTCAAATTTCATAAGTATGAGTGACGTTTCGTCTTTGGTACCTAAAATGAGCCATCTAACATGGCTGAGACCTGCAAAGTTAATTACAAATACCACTTATCTTTTGCTTCCTCTTTCCCAAAAATGTTATGTTTTGATAGCTGAACGATGTGTCATGCATAAGTGGATGATCCAGTGTAAAAAATATAAATAGGCGTCAATCTTTCATTTCACCATCTTTGGCTAATCCTTATATTTCTAAAAATATAACTAATTTTTTATTTGAAAATTTTGAATTCAGTGTTTTTTTGGGTTTATTTATTTATTTATTTTTTCTAAATACTAAATGCAATTTTGAAACTTTTATTAACTCTCATCTGTTAAACCAAAATAAACAAACTAAATAATTTTTAAATTTTAAAAATATCCTCAACGTTGGTAACGACAATAATTAATATCAGTCTAAGACTTCTGATTTGACAGCCATCCCCTTCTTCTTCTTTTTTTTGGTTCCTTTTCCTAGCATGTAGAGAAAAGAAACGAAGACACACATTGAAACTACTACAAATGCAAAAACACCTCCCGAAACGAGTCATCTAACAATTTGCACATAAATTCATGGACTCCCAGACAGCTATTTATAATCCAATGAGTTTTACGCTAAGATATTGTACAATTCAGATTTTTTTTATTAAGATCCTAAATTTTTTTTCTATTTAATTTAAAAGTTCTACTCTTATATTGTTGTTTCAAACCTTAATCAATGACAACTTGTCACGTAAGCACACATGACAAGCTCTAGCCAATGATAACTTACCATGTCACTAACTCAATCATCCAATTTAGATCTATCATGACGCGTGGTAAACTATCATTAGCTAAAACTTATCATGTGTGCTTACATGACACATTAAGGTCTAAAGCAATAACATATGAGTGGAAATCTTAAATTGGACAGAAAAAAAAAAAAAAACTTACAATCTCCATAAAAAAAATATTCAAATTATATAAAATCTCGATATATGCAAAACCCATAATCAAATTGATATTTTGATTCGGTTTATTTAATTAATTTTAACCGAACACTGCTCTCTTCACTCTTCATAATGAAAGAAGAGATTAGTTTTGCTTATGATGAAATTGTCTTGTTCGATGAAATGGAAAAAAAAGATAGCAGGACAACTAGGAGATGATGAAATAGAGAATGCAACGAACCATCTGCTGTATCCCTTCACTTCTGCATCCCAATTACAAGTTTAGGCGTTCGCATTCCAAGTTTTCACACTTCTTTCGATCTCAGGATTTTTAAGATCTTGACTTTTGATCATACATTTAGAGATTTTTCTCATTTTCTTTTTAATGCTGAAAGCCTGAGTTTGCTCATCTCCTCTAATTTGATTAATCGAGTTATTTGACAGTGGGCCCGTTGTGTATAGAGGGATATGCTTCCTTTAAACAAGCCTTTATACTTTCTCTCAAGAGGCTATCAAGTTCGAGCCTCTCCTTTATAACCCAATAAATAAATAAATAAATAAATAACAGCTTTGATCGGGCATCTACATGTTATCCATGTAGAAAATTTTGATCTGAAGCAGAGCAACATGCCTGCTAAAAGCATTGGTGCCTAAGGCAACCCAACGTGTACTCTCATCACATTAGGTTAAAAAATAAAAAAGAAAAAAAGAAAAAAGGCAGGATGATAATACCTAAAACGCATCAACAGCCTATCAAAAAACTGAAGTTAAAATGAACTTTATTCATTTTCTTTTTCGCTAGTCCAGGTAAAGCAAGAATTAGGATGATGAGCCTCAGAACACTGACCAAAAAAATTCACAGAGGTGAGTATTAACTACTAGTTTTCATGGATCCCACTAACTACTGATTCTATTTTGCCGACTAGACTATTCCCCGCTATTAAGGGGAGTTGAATGAGTAGAATTTCGTGCATTAATAAAGATTTTTTTTTTTTTTCAAAATCCAAAAAGAGTGACTGTCAGCATTCTGCAATTCAATTCAAGGAAGACAAAAGCTATACTAATTAAGATCAGTCTAAGACTTTTGCTTTCACAGCCGTCTCTCTTTCATTTCACCTGTATAAAAAGATATCTTTTGTTCCTTTTTTTCTTTTCCTAGCATGTAGAGAAAAGCTATACTAATTAAGATCAGTCCAAGGCCTTTGTTTTGACAGCCGTCTCTCTTTCATTTCACCTGTATCAAAAGACATCTTTTGCTCCTTTTTTTTTCCTCCTAGCATGTAGAGAAAAGAAACGCTATTCCTAATTCCTATACAAGACACACAGACTGAAACTACTACATGTACAAAAACACCTCCTAAAATGAGTCATATAACAATCTGCACATAAATTCATTGAGTCCAAACAGCCATTTATAATCCACAAGCTTGGTCCCATTGAGATGTTTTTGAGACAAGAATCTCACCATAAAGATTATCTTGCTTCACGTCCACATGCCCTTTACTTTTCAATACCTGCAAAGTTAATTACAAATACAGCTTAGCTTTTGCTTCCTGTTTCACAACGATACAGTCTAAACCTGTCTCCTGCATACTTGGATAACTCTATTTCAAAGGTTTAAATACTCTTTACTGGTCCTCTCCCAGATTCTAATCTAACATCGATTTAAATCACTTTCTTGAGTAGAAAGCTGTAAAAAAAAATCAGATCTTGACAATATATGATCCCACTAATTTTATCAAAACTTGATTGTATATAACAACTTTTTTTTAGATTTGCACTTGATCATTAACCTTCTCATTCGGAAGGAAAAGGCCAAAGCAGAAAATAGCATAACGTAAATGCTTACATAAAATGAGACATATTTACACAAGCCCACCAGCAAAAACCAATTGCATCAATGATATTTCTAATCAGATGCCTAACGAAGAAATAGAGGAAACATAAGGGCTCTTCGGATTGTGGTTGAGAAAGCAATTTCACAAAGGATTTCATGATTTGAAGCATCAATTAAAAAACAGCAAGAATAGGGTCAGTGTATAAATTCTGTTGTAACATTTCACTTAGTTTAAAATTTTAAGTGAATGAAATAAAATAGAATCGATATGAATTGTGGAAGCTTTTTAATATACTATGTATTTTGTAGTCTATAGAACCATGTGTGTATTTCATGTTTGAGTTTAAAAAATATACTATAAATAAGTTTATGTTGATTAAACATAATTTGTGTCATTTTAACATCAAATTTCAAAAACACTTCTCACAGCCATACCCCACAGGCAGGACAAAAACCCCAACATCTTAGCCAAAGGACCTCAGCGTTATGTTTACAAAAATTCTAAATCCTACTCAAAAATTGACAGACAATATAGTCGTGAGTCAATCAGATAAAGCATTAGACAGCACTAAGGTACATACCAGTATCTCATAGAAGAGCCTAGCACTCTCTTTCTTGGTTCTTCCTTCCAAAAGTCGAAATAAATTTACTACTTCCTCCTTTCTTCTTTTCTTCTGTATCAGAAAACTTGCATGCAAGCATTTCACAGCCACTCTGTCATGCAAATTCAATGGAAAATTTAGATGCAAGGATCAGACATTAACGCTTCAGTTATATGAGAACAATGCAAACCCTCTATCAACCATACCTGGTTCTCTCTGACCACCCATCTGCAATCGAGATGCATACGAAATGAGAATCCCATTTGTAGTATAGGATCTAAATGAAACTAAATGATCACATTAAATAAAAAGTGAACAAAAAATTGACTTGTCAAAGTTCTTACAATGCTCCTGGTTATCTCCTTCAGATGTATTCATCTCCTGAAGAAAATAGAAATGATAATATATATCAGTTCAATAAGCTTACACCCAGATGTATCAGAATCCTGGAAGTATATTAATGCACAAAATGCCTGGCATTACAAGGCAGCTTTACCATTGTCACTGCTTACCCCATTCAGCAGATTGAGATCAAGTTCTTCATGCATGCTGGGGAAGATTTCCTTTTCTACACTTACAGACCTTAGTCCATCCGTGTCAGAAAGATCAGGTCTCTCAGGGCTCTCAAAAGACCTCAGTGATGCTGTGTACTGAGTAGGTGTTTCTGGAGCAATTGCCATTTGCTCTAAGCAGCCACCAGCAGTAGGAGATTCTGCTATGTCTAACTTTCCGGGTCGTTCCAAAGTTTCAAAAAATCTACTAGCAGAAGATCCTGACACATTTGACTTTTCTAGAGTCTCCACAGTTTCAACTGATCTCCCAACAGTACAAGATTCTGACATGTCCGAAGGTTCCACAGTTTCAACCAGTTTATCAGTGGCAGGACTGTCAGACACAAATGTTTTTAGAGATTCCACAGTCCCAGCTGATTCTTGAATCAATGTATTCTCTGGAGGTTCTACAATTTCATCTAATCTGCCAATAAGAGGAGATCCTGAAACATTTAACTTTTTGAGCTGCTCTGTAGTTTCCACTGACATTCCAACGTTTTGAGACTCTGAAGCATCCGACCTTTTGGAATGTTCCTCAGTTTCAACTGATCCACCAATACTCTCAACTGTTTCCGGAATATGTAATCTCTTTCTGCAAAAGAGGGATCTAAGCTCCAGTGAATTACCTGTACAAAACACAGTTAAAGAGGACAGCACAATTACTAAGCTACAGAGGAAATGACAATGCTCAACTTACAAGGAATCAGAGGCTCCTGGAAACACCGGTCAAGATTGGAAAATCGACAGGCTTTCCAGACAGCAAAAGCAGTATGAGGAAGCTTTCTTCGTTTGGACACCAAGTCACTTGAGTCTTCTATGCATTGCTTAATTATGCTGTAAAGTTGAACAGAAATGTTATCCAATATCCACCCTAACATTGGTCATTCGACTTTCAGCAACTTAATTCCTCAAAACACTTCCAGTGTATTCTAAACACACCAAATTTTAAGTTTGCAATCACGTCTTTCTAATTGATGGTGGTAACTGGTAAGTTAAACTGAAATGGCAGGACCTGAAATGGCAGGAACTATGACTAACAATAACATCATTTTTTGGTCAGAAACGCATAATATAATCAGTTCTGCATGGAGAGCCAAATTAAATAGTATGACATTCAGGAAAGCAATGTTATTTGAGCTTTAACTATGGAGGAAATTGGGTGATGTGATAACAGCCATATAAACATGTGAAATGCATACATCCTACATATTAAAACCATCATTTAAATTACTGCAACATAATATTTTATTGTAAGAGATTCTATATCCAACTTGGCTCACCACAAATATGCCATTCCTAATGTTATATACAACAACTAAACATGATATTTGTGTTCAAAGGAAAAGGAATAACAACCTTCAATAATGATAACGCATATTTTTCTCATGATGTAATATAGCAGAAAACAATTGATATGGACATGGCAATGATTCAGAAAATAATACTCGGCACTGCCATTGATTAACAATCAGAAACAACCTCAATCAAACACATGAGAAGGATGTAAGTTTGAGTCAACAATGACATACTTTTTATGTAACACTATCACATCATCAAAGAGACACTTCCTTTTCTTGAGAATACGAGCACGCTCCTTAGCAGCTGGTGTAGAAATAACCATAAACTCTGGCGTGTTAGCCCCTGCATGGAAGGAGATTTCTTAAAATAACCATATTTGTCAAGAAAAAATTAGCCAAATCAATTATACTATAATTGTGCATCCATTTTCACTTAGATCTGCAAACACCCCACCCCCACCCTCTCCCCACCTCCCAATCTACTCCACCCCTAATAAAAAGGGTAAGATAAAAAGTGTTCAGCTATGCTATACCAGGCATAAAATATATGATTTAAGACATGCAACAATCCAATCATTAACAATAGTAAATCATTTAAATTTGACCCACACTTGTTCATAAAAATAAAAAATCTAGCAAATCTCCCAGCTCGAAAAGAAAAAATTAAATTCTGTATTAAATTTGATAGGCAATTCTAGAAAATTATTTTAGTTGTCATTCCTTTCCTATGAAATCTTTTCATCAGGAAAAAATTTAAGAGATTAGATTATGAAAGGTTATGAGAAAATTGATCTCAAAATCTTCTTTTACCTGAAACATCTTTGGACTTGTATTGAGGAGTAGCATCAAGTTTTACAGACAATGGATGATCTTCCGAGACAAGCTGGCGCTTTCTCTTTCCCAATGTTCTTGCTTCTAATTCTAAGACTTTTGCATTCTCTGCATCATTCTGGCGCTCTTCATTAAACAATCTAGCATGTTCTGGAGGATCTTCAACGACATGAAATATATTATTGTCCCTACATTCTTCTTGAAAAAACCTATTCTCTAGAAGCTTCTCTAATGATGCTTCTACATCAGACACATTATCGTCATTAAAAACATTATGCACTTCATTTTCTGACTGTTCCATGCCAGGAACCTCTTTCTGCTGCTCCTCGGGTTGATGATATAACTTAGCAAAGTTTTCAGGTTCTTCCTCTACCCCACCAAATGCTTCAAGGTTCAGACATGCTTCCTGACAAACACTATCATTACAAAGCTTCAGCACATTTGCTCCTGCATGCATTTCATCTGAACCCATCTTATCTGGAACCTTTGAATGCTCCTCATCAGTTTGATGATTTTCAACAAATGATTTTCTTGCATCTGGAGGCTCCTCAACCTCGGGAAACATTTCAAGGTCCTCACAGTCATGATGAGAGAACATATTGCCTCGACGCTTCTCCATGCATGTTTGTAGAGTGCTTACACTATGTGATGTCCCTTGCTCCATATAAACATCTGCCCTAGGAGATGAAAAAACACTGCAACAAGAGTGCAAAGTGAGTAAATGTTGAAAGCATTGAGACATCTTCAGCGACAACGAACAGACAAAGATAAAAAAGGTGGTGGGAAAAGCAGGAAGGCAGCTAGAACGACAGAGACAGGAAACTTTTAAGTTCAAGGTCCATACTCTTCATTCAGATTGTAATCTGCAGGCCAAGTATCTCGACAGGCAGCAAACTCCTCACAGTGATCCTGCAAATATGTGAAAATTAGTATTCTAGGCACACAGATCCATAGGAATTTAAATAGAGCAGTAATTGTACAAATCTTATGAAAACTATGAAGTTGGAGCAGTAGTTAAACTGATCCGGAAGGATTTGATTTAAGATCATTAACACAACAAAAAGAAGCATCTTGCAAGAATCCAAAATGGAAGGACTGATCTATACATGTTAAACTCTCAAAATTCAGATCGAATCTATTAAGGTAATCTGATTGTATAGCAGATACCTGGTTTAGACAGTATTTCCCTAAATCCCCAGTTTTCCACATGCCATCTGTTGCATTGACAATTATAAGTGTTAACAACTGAAGTAGAAAGAAGTAACTAATTAACTAAACTAAGAAAATTCAACACTTTTAAGGGAAATTTTACAGAGGGCTTCTCACTGATACTAAATTATGTAAACAAACTGATACTAAATTATGTAAACAACTGAAATAGAATGAAGTATATGAATTAATTAATTAAACAAGGAAACTCCATACCTTTAAGTGTAATTTCTTCAAGGGGCATCACATTGCCTCTAGGAGGTAGAAGAAATAGCATATCAAAAACAATCAATAGAACAAAAAAATGAATGAGCTCTTCAGTACACAACTATCTAAACTTACACGCTATTATCTTCAAGAATCTCTAGATCAAAAGCATCAAGCTCAAATCTTTCTGGTAGAGTAATAGAGAAGTAAGGTGCTTGCAAGGTTTCCATAAGTATCCCATCTTTATTACTGACCATAAAGTCCTTGATGTTAAGAAGCACTTTATTGCAGTCATCAAACAGATATTCAACTTTTTTGGAGTATATTCTGACAACACCAAGAAGAAGGTAAGCCAGTACTCTGTATGTAACAACATCAAACCCATCTTGCAAAATTTTATCTGTTTAAACCAAAAAAAAAAAAAAAAAGAGATAATGGAAAACCAGGATCAGAACTCCAGGTTAGACAAAACAAAAAATGACCGAAATCAAAACTTTCAAGACAATAAAACAGTATTGTCATTTCTATGGCTATATTCTGAATATGTTATTTTGGGATTAGTTTATGAAGAATCTGTTATGCAGCATCATCAGTAAAAGATTTTAGACCACATATTTTAGAAAGAAACTTGAAACTTAGATACTTGGGAATTTTTCCTTGTTATATTCTCCAACAGGTTTAGTTTTTTCCATTTCCATGCCTTCATACCCTAGTTAAAAAAAATTTGAAGATAGGATTATTATTCTTAATCAAATAAATAGAAATTTCAGCATTTTTTTGGGTCTCTTTATGTTTTGTTCCTTGTCACTTGGCTCTATGCTGATATCAGCACACAGATAAGGTGCTTTTACATTAGCATCAGTGTCTCGTAGATGTCAATTTTTCTGCAAAAGACACCAAAAAATTTTCAACACTTCTTATTCTAAACAAAATCAAACTCAAACTATAGATTTGACTGATGTTATACAAACAACAGAATATGCAACTAATAAAGATAACAATAAAATATATGGAAAAAGTAACTGAGTATACTTGTACAGCAGTTGATCATATAGGCTTTCCATTCAATAAGAAAACAAAAATGGACTTGGATTTGCTTTCCCCTCTTTTTCTATAGATTGCTTTCTAACTATAAGTTATGAAAAACTGGGCAAGTTAAATTAATTGCACCAGCATTTAGACCCCAATATGAATTGACTAAAGCATAAACTCATCCAGGCTTCAAATAAGTGAAGATCAGTTCACATTTTATATTTTAATGGATTCAGAGGCCTATATATTGTGGTTGATCTATCTCTAGAACCCTTATATATTTGACAGATACTGAACATAGCTTAAAGTTGAGCATATAACTTCTTAGTCATACCAATATATAACATTTTCCATTTGATTACCAGCACTACCTAGGACCCTTATTACATTGCCTATAACACCTCTTCTCTAAATTTGGTCATTGCACTACTTGATCATGAACCAGACATTTTAGTGAGCAGGCTTAGGTCATCGAATCCAAACATAAGCTGCCATTTTATCCTCAAATATTGAATCGTGGAAGAAGTAAACTTGTGCATGCCTCAGCCAAATATTTACCCTTCCCTCAATTTAGTAGGCTGCTAAATGCTACAAAGTACAAAATAGTTTGACTTTATGATTCTCTTAAATGAAAAGTAATAGAAAAGCATAGCACATCATTTGATTAGCTTAGTGCCTTCTATATCCATTGCTTTTTTCTTTTCTTTTCTCTTCTTTTATTGGACCAAATCGACTTACACAAAACATCATATATTGCAATCAGCTCTTTTTCCTTTTGGACGACAACTATCCAGCCTGACACAGATTAGAGATTTACTAAAGTCCAGCTTCTAAGATCACTTTTTCCATATTAAACGTTCATTGAAAAAGAATTCTTATTTAGCAGCTTTTATTTGGAAGCATTTGATTTTCTCCAACATCATCTCCTATACTCCTATATCCACTTCTTTAGGCAGTACCAAGCAGTCAGACTAGTGCAGGCTAAATAGTATTACTACATTTACTCAATTGAAACATTCATTTTAATTAGCACAATCTAAAAATATAATAGCGACTGAAAAAACCTCCTGTAATTGACAGTCACAGAAAGTAAAAAAAACATAACCTAGATTGCAATGTGAGTTTACTCCAAATCGAAACACTAAAAAAATTAAAAAAAAAAAATTAGGGTTTAAACTAATTCAGCCATTATAAACATCAACACTCACGTAGAAAACACCCTCTACAAGCAATTTATCATACGACTCATATCCAACCAAAATGGACCTATAAATTTTGGAATAGAACAAATAAATACAGAAAAACAAAAGAGCCCATATAAGAAAAACCCCCATTAAAACCTTCTCCTTTCCTTGACAGAAGGCAAAACATATGGTTACCAAAACAAAAGGAAAAAACCCCCTATTTTGGACTAATAACCCCATTTATTCTCCAATTATAAAAATAAGAGACAAACAAAACAAAAAAATATTGTGAAGAATGAGAAAAAACAAATTGAAAAATATGGTTTGGTTGCTTGCTTACCAACAGAGGATGAGATATCAGTAGAAGTGACTTGTGCCTTTTTAAGCTTTTTGAAGTAGTAAGCAGCAACCCAAATGGAACCTAATGGGCCTTTCCTTGACAGAAGGCAGTGCGAGTAAAACATTTATTTCCTTTCCTATGCTTTCCTTCCCTCTCTCTATACAGTTTTGATTTTGCAATTCAAAATACAGAAAGATTGTGGAGGAAGAAGAGGCAAGTTAACTGCAAGAAAAATAAATAAATAAATAAAAGAGAAGTCTCTCTTCCCAAGCAAAACGGTCGAGGGGATTTTTAGGGAAGATTATTTAATATGAATAATAAAGCAGCAATTTATATATGTGGCATTTTTATTTTCCTTAACTGTTTGAAAAGGGCAAAAAACAGGAAGAGGACAGAAAAAAAAAAAAAGGAGACAGATTATTTCGGAATTGGGATTTTTTTGTCAGAATCAACTGGTAAGTGTATCTCAGGATGGCGGCGGGGGGATGACAATAATTTCCTTGTATAATTTTACTCCCATTTTTGGTGTATTGCTCAAGGAAGTGAAAATCTGTGACAGGGACGATGACTCCCTTATTTGTATCAACAGGGTTGGTGGACTAAGATAAGGATATGCATTATTCCAGTTTCTTTGTTTTAATATTAGGAAAAATACAAAAAAAAAAAATTCATAAAAGAGATAATTTTGCAAAAATATATCAAATATCACCTAACTATACTGCCCATGAATGAAACGGAAAAAATAATAATAAAAAAAGCACTAACATAATATATATATATATATATATATTACTTAGTTTTGTTATAAAAATAAATATAATTGATAAAAGAGATAATTTTCTTTTTTAAAAAAAAATCAGTAAAATAATGAAGTAACTTAAGAAAAAGAGGTATTCATAATAAACATTGTGTGTTTTAATTTTAAACTAGAGCATAAGAATTAATAAGTGATGTGGTGTTTTTTAATGAAAAATTGATGCCTGACCATTTAAAATTTAAAATATCTCGATATTATATGTTTTAATTATTTCACAGTAGATAAAGAAATGTAGAAAATGTAATCTTAAATACTAAGTCTTACTTTGCATTATTGGGTTCTTATAGAATCAATGTCTAAAATATTCTAAGGTTGTGCAAATCATAAGAGAAACTTGAACACTAAGAGAGAAATAGAGCAAAAGAGACCAAATCATAAAAGAGAAAGCAAGAGAGAAATGAAATTTATTAAGGAAAGAAGCTAAAATTGTCCAAGAGAAGCAAGCTTGGCCGAAAGGAGGAGAAAATCGTCGAGAGGGAAAGGAGGGCTGTTTTGGCCGAAACTTTAGACAAGGAAGAGAGGTGTGATTTTTTAGGAGCTTTAAGGTGATTTTATCTTCAATCAAGCCTAAGGTACAAGTCTTGGGTTAATCATGTATTGATATGATAATTGGTGCTCTTGTGGAACCCGTGGTTTCTAATTGTGCATTTGATTAAATTGTGTATAATTGATACTTAAATTGTGAAATTAATGAAAGATTAGTTGTTGTGATATTATGGAAAGTATTTAATTAATGATTGAATGTGTTAAATGAGGTGTTCATGTAAACTTAAAAATTATAGGGGTTGATTAGTTATTAAATGGAGACTTTACATTAAGATGTGATTGGATAATCAATTAATTGACGATTGGCTATTGTATTAATGATGGGTATGTGTTTAACTATGGATTTAACATGGTAATGTAGTGTTCATGTAAAACTCGAAAATTCTTAGTTTTGGGCTAAGTGACTAATTGTTGGATTAAATTTAATTGAAGAATATTCATGGCTATTATGATTAATATGTGTGAATTGAGATTGGTTTAATTGTATTGGGTGACTTTGAATGGATTTTGCTTTGACTTGTTGATATGGTGATGCTATTATTGCTTGATATAATCTCAAGTTTCAAAATTCCATCAGCACCAGAAAGTCTCCAAGCCCACCCAAACCACCTAAGTTTTGCTCTTTCGTACTCTCTCTTTCTTCTGCTTTCTCTGCTTTTGAGTGACTATATGTTGCTGTTGTCCTCCTTTCTTAGCATGAATGCCAAGGAAATCTGCTTAAGATCATTTTCCATATTTCTCATGTTTGAAAGTGATTGAGCACGGGATATTAGAGCAAGCCACGAGCAAAGCTTGTAACTGAACATGACACCAGCCACATCGAGGATAACTGCAATGAAACCTAAGTAATCAACGGGTAGATCCTGTGGTGAAACCATCAATGCCACAAATGGTTTCGCGACCGATGGCTGTTGTCAATTGTTTGCCGACGTCGAGTTGCTGTTGTGGTTATTGAGCCGAGAGAGGAGAAAAAGGAAGATGGGTGGCGTTAATGAAAAGGGAATAGGGAAATGAGCTAATGGTTTGGCTGGTGTTTTGGGGGTTTGGTTGGAGCTTTGGCATTGGGAGGCTGTGAAAACAGGAGATGGCAGTCGATGGTGGTTTTGGGAGGTATACATGCTAGGTGTTTGAGGTGGACGACTTAATGGTGGCTGCTTTGTTGGGCAGAATGAAGGGGAATGGTGTGGCAGTGGGGTTGAAGACAGCGATGGGCTACGGGGTAGCAGCTAATGGTGGTTACTGGTTTTTGTGAAGATGACAGTGATGACAAAGAGATACGGACCTCGAGTCTGGAGGGAATAATGAGACTGATTTCAAGTCTGGGAAGGAGTTGAGTTTGTTGTATTCGGGTTTGTCTTGGTGAATGAGAACATCTATGGGATGGCCGTGGAGAGGGTTGTCGTGGGTGGTTGTTCAAGCTTAGAGGAGGGAGGAAGCAGCTCAGGTGAGCTTGGGGTGGCTAACGGTTTAACATTTTCAAAACGAAAAGGATGCTGGTACATATACTTAAACTTGATAGTAATACTAATACAAGGCTTTTATATTATTAACAATTGATTCTTATTGTTGTCAAACCATGTTACAACAAATCTGAAACATGTCAATGAAAATATAGCAAGTCAAAATATATAATTTATTAGTGAAGTTGGCCTGATCAGATATTTATCTCTATAGTTATCATGCAAATCCAAATAGTGGGATATATTTATATTAAGGCTTTTGAATCATTTTAATCAACAGAATTTCATTAAATCAACATTAATTTTTTTATTTTTTTTCCTCCCAGTAAACTCATGGTTTTGAGGAACCAACAAACTGAATAGAGACATAAAAAACATGGATAGATGAGTAAGAAAAAGTTTAAAAACTGGAAAATACATTTGATAACATTGCCATTTTTTCCACTTTTGGTTTCCCTCAAAACATATTCTTTGTTTTATCAGGAAGCTGTTAAATATAAGGTCAGCTTTTTGAATACTAGAACAAAAGTGGAAGTAAGAACTACATGAAATGAAACAGCACCAGATTATGGAAAATCAGAAGCCAATGCAGGGTCATAATAAATCAAACCATTGGATAAAAGGCGCACTGGCAGGAATGGTTGATGCTTCTTCTTCCTGCCCACATGCCACTCAACATCGTAATATATCTACTCTTGACCATAGTTTAACCCAAGAATGTCTGTCGTCCCCGAGTTCTGCAAAACAAGTGGTTCAAAATCTGTTGATGGATTTTAATTAGCTATGATTATGTTAGGCATGCCCATTTTTGCAAATCAAATAAAAAATTAGCTTGTCCATCAAAAAGGTAGTCATGTGTAAGCGTAAGACCTATTCAGGGCACCAAAATTTGGCTATGACCAGGCCATTGCACCAAAATGATGTTCTTTGAAAATGGCATCCTGTCCACTCAGGTGTCTCATCATTTAATTCCTGGTTGAAGACCTTCGCTGCTATTCATGTCACTTGAGGTCCCGTCAGAAAGCATTTTCTTCATTTTTGCTTTCAAAACCTTATCAAAGTTGTCATATGACAGCGATAATACTTGATTCAGCAGCAGTTTCACTCCAGCTTCCTTCACTATTGCATACCTTGGTTTTATCCTCTCTTCCAAACTGTAACCAAAATACTGTGGGAATTTAACAAGTTCTTCTTTTGGATAATCCATGCTCAAAAAGAACTCCCACTTTGGTATCACATTCTCTGCCAGGCTGAAAGTATATAGAGCTCCATATCGTGATATCATTGTCCCGATATCCTCTATACTGTATCCCCTTTCCAGGAAGAATTCTGTCACAGGTTTCAAATTGGCCTCAATACTAAGACCAAATGTCTGCGGGCATCGATGAAGAAGTAAGGCAATATCAACTCCCAAGGAACGAAAGTACTCAGCTGTGGGTCGCAGCTTGTCATTGACATTGTAACTTATGATAGTTGGATATCGTGTTAGAATCTTGCCAATGCTCTCTGCTGAGAGACCCATCTCAGAGAGAAAATCTACAGTCATCTCAACCTTCTGCCTGCTATATGTAAGAAGTGCCGGAAAGCGACAAATCACTTTTGCCCATTGTCTCTTGTCCACACCCAAATTTTCTAAGAATGTCATAGTTGGTATAAGATTTTCAGAGAGACTAATTCCACACAATTGAGGCCGTTTGGTTAGAACAGTTGGAAGGTCTGATATAGGTATTCCAAGATCAAGAAGGAATTCAACCACTGGCTTGATTTTCCCTTCCAAGCTGTAGTAAGCAAAAGCAGGGAATTTGCGTGTAATTCCCTTGATCTTCTCAAGATCCATGCCAAGCTCTATGAGATATAGAATGTGAGGGGGAAGCTTCCCAGCCGGGTCTGTCTCGCTCACTCTAGACACGGCCCTTTGCTTCTTGGAATCAAGGGTCAAATGGGGTGGAGAAACAGGTACAGTTGGTTTTTCTTTACCAGAAGGGCTAGGAAAGTTTTCCAATGAATCTAACAATATGCTTCCATGCTCTTCAAGGAGAGACTGGAGGTATGGAATAAGAGCATCCCTGATCTCAAGAGTTGTTAGCTCTCGGCCTGCAATGTTCAGTGGAATTTCATTAGTAACGGACCAATTTAGGATCTGTTTGAGAAAAAAAAGGAGAAACATTGAAGATATTTATGGCCAAACAGATGCAACCGAACCTACTAGATACCGAGATTTATGAACCAAATGAAGCCTTGACACAAGGTGGTCAATGAAAATGTCTGACTTGTTGATAGTTCTTGCTGCAACTGCATTGCTCAAACCTTGTTTCTTCAAGAACAAGTTTAGGACAGCCTTGGCTTCTTCTTTTTCTGCTGTCAACAGAGCTGCCGGCACCACTCTCGAGCTGAAGGATCCATCTACCCCAGAATCAGCATTTATTATACTATTTTTACAACTCACTTCTGGAATAGAGCCAGCACAAAATACTAAAAGACATAAATGGAAATAACAATAACACAACGTAAAGTCAATAATTGAAGAATAGCCAAGAACTCACCAGTAGATTGTTATATGGTTCGGAATGAAACCTTTCCAGAAGAAATTGAGAGCAAAATAAATGTGCACCCTTCAAGGTTACTGCTCAGTGATCTATTATAAGCTCATTTGCTCTCCACTAACTATTAATAACACTTATAGTTGTTATACAGCATCCATTAGGATTATTGGTATGTTTTATGCACTCCTACTGCATTATTCACTAAACTTCAAGAAATTTCTACCCTTTCATTCATCTCCACCATTTAAATTTATTGATAAATTTTTAACCTTTTTATTCTTTAGCTGCAGGCACTGTCTTTAAGAGTCAGCGCAAACAAATACACCAAAACTTTCTTTCATGCCATATTGCATCATAATATGCCAAGTTCTGTCCACATGGCCCCTAAGCAAAATCTAAATCTCTCCATAGATCAAAAGAAAATGGTCAGCACAACCAAAGACAAAAGGAAATTAGCAAACTGTGCACAATTTTGGCTTCAACTTGAATTTAAACTGGCAACACAGACACAAAGCAATGGTCGATGAAAATTCTAAAACGGGAGTACTTACCAAATTTTGCTCGGCAAAAGAAGAGCTTCCTTGGAATTGAAAGTTGAGTCCTGTGTCAATGAAAACAAGATTAAATACAATACAATACAATACTGACACAGAAGAATTGAAGGGTGCATTCAATCAATTTTTAACCACCCATCTCCTAACCCTCCAACGATCTGTGAAGAAGACTAAAACCCCAAAGGTTTTAGAAACCAAACTTTCGAAGATGAAGACAAACTCTAGATAAGATATTTATTATTATCATTACACTCTTCAAATTTCAAAGCTAGCTTAATGGCAAGTGAAAAGTCGTAAACATAGTAAAAAATAATGTTGTCAGCATGTCTTGTCTTAAAATGAAGACTAAACACACAACAGTGAAATGCTAGAAAAATGGGGACAGACATGTTAGGTACCTGGAAACGTAGACAAGTCCTCTAGAAGGAGATGCGGGTTCCAAAATGCGAAAAGAAGTACTGGAAGCTCTCATTTTCTACAGAAAATTAAGGATGAAGAGAAGAGAAGTCTTGAAGAAGGGTGTTTGTGATAATATCGTGTTTTGTTTGAAGTTTTTCAGCGAGTTGTTAAGGCAAGGAAAATATCTTGTGTTAGATATTGTGGTTGGCTGTTGAATCTCAGCCGCTACCCAGTCTTAACGAAGATGACACAATTTCCACGTGTCCAAAAATAAATAAATACAAAAAACTCAGAAATTTAATTGCTGGTAAGCCAGCACTCTGTTTGTAACAATGCCAAAACTGTCTTGCAAGATTTTTATCCCCAAAAAAATTGTTTTTTTTTTTTTGTTACTTTTCACAAAAGAAATATTATTAATTATTATTTTTTTGTTTATATTTTTTTAAAATATCATTTTTCTTAAGAATTGTATTTAGATAATTTTTAATAAAATGAATTTCAGTTAAAAATATTTTAATAAATAATTTTGATTGGAATTTAATTGAATTTCTTATATTTTGTTTTAACAAAATTTTAATATCTGGCTATGGAGATGTAGTTGTGATGATGAGTTGTGATGACCATTATTTATTTATTTGTTTAATTAGTCTTTTTTTCTTTTTATTTTCATTTCACTCAGTTTTTTTTTATTTTAATTAATAAATAAGCAATAATAAATCAAGGAAAGAAAAAATTGATGGACTTATTATAAAATAATGAATGTTCATTTCATATTTCTCACTATTAATATGATTCAATTATAATATAAAAAATAAAAAAGGTGACGCAATTTATTCAATTATTTATGTATATTTTAATGTTTTACAATCTTTTCAAATTCTCTTCCTAATCTTGAAGCTCGTAAATAGGCTTGATTGTTCATTAATTCATAAATAAATATAGTTTATAAATAAATATTTTGTAAAAATTGAGAAATTGAGTATTTTGTAAAGATTAAGAGATTATTTGAAATTATTATCTTTTGTATTTACTTTATTTTATATAAATTCATTTTTCTATCATATTTCTCTTCAATTATACTATTATTACTATTTTTTTCATAACAGGACTTACTTTTTTCAATTTTATTTATTTGGTTTCCTTATTTTAATATTTTTTATGAAAAAAATCATCTATTTCTTTTTTCTTTTTTTCATCATCTTTTTGCAAATATATAAAAATAAAAATTGAAGATGAAAGATCTCATTAAGACAATCAATCCTCCTTTTGATGAATAAATTCAATGGTGATTTTTGTGGTCAGGTAAGGGAGCACAGCCAAATAATTTTTTTCTCATAGAACTCTGTCCCTAAGTAGTAATAAGATTAACCTTTTGAAGAACTGTGCTATAGCCTGGCATGTATTTCCACATAAAAGTGTTCATTCTGAATCAAAGGTTACAAAAGGACAGCAAGTGGACAATAAACCTTTTGATGAATCGTGCATATGTTGACATTATTAAACAAGAGATTTTGATTCTTACATCTTGAAAATAATAGCCTCTCCGTTACAAAGAATCAAAACCAGATTCAAGCAGCATTTAAAAATAAACAATTCCTCGTAAAAATGAAAAGCTATAAACTTGCTTCTCCAATCATGTGACGATAACCTCCCGTCTCTCCTAACTGGTCACCTTGGAACTGACAGACCAAGCTCTAAAGAAATAAACACCACAAATACAGGAATCAGATAACAGACAAGCGCTGAATGCACTCTCTATAATGAAAGAACAAGATATAGGTAACAATATTCCAATATAAATTGACAAAACAACTCTTTTCTGAATTGCACCATCAACATATTCAAGGATCCTAAGAACCCTCTCGATATCGTGTTATTCATCGAACCACAATTTCCCTAGTCATCATAGAAATTCTTTCCTTAAGTTTCTATAAATGACGAAATGTATAGTTTCTGATAACTGTTATAATAACATCATCCAAATAAATTCCATATTGTTTTAGGTCATAGATTGTATAGTTGATGGCAGGGCCCACCTCCAAAAACAGCAAACATGTCTCACGTATCATCACCTCCATCTGGGACAAGGAGCAGTTATGTTACCAATGTATTCTAAATTGCTAGCAAATACATTACTTGAAGTGCATAAAGTTCAAGCCCATTATACAAGGGGGAAAAAGGACTAAGTGACAGCCTAAATGACTCTTTGAACCTGTCCAACTAGCTTCACATTTCAACCACACACTAGCTCATCAATTGCTCTGTGTATTACTCTATCATTTACCCCATAATGGGAACAAGTTTTTTTGTGATGAGTTTCAGAATCAACATAATAATCTAACTAAAGAGGTCTTCTGACTGGTGTGTTGTATGATTGACTAAACTGTACTGAAAATCATCAAAGTCTATGGTTTTGATTAGTAGCCTAACGAGTAAAAAAACGAATCATCCTAAGATTGAATACTTTCGAGTACAGAAAGTTAAAACAGAGTTCAGCTGAATACATGGCAAACTATTCCCTAAAAAAATAACAATAGAACGAAAAGACAGATTTTAACATGTCAAACAGAACATTGAATTCTCCTGAGTAAAACTTACACTAAGACAAGAGAAAGCCTGACATGTTACGTTTTTGGGCCAGTTTAACATCATCCAAACAAGTTTAGACAGCAGTACTGACACGTACACAGGTAGAAAATTCACTAAAACGCAACAAAGGCCTCCATTTTGATATAACCAAATATTTTTAAGATGATTAAAAAAGCACTCATAGTTTCATACTTGACAGTGATGCAGACCACAGGTCCCCAGTTTATTTCTTTGAATTATGTGCCTGCAGGAACCAAATATTCCAGTCAGATTGCATCAAACCCAATTAAATCACTCTCAAGTCTCATCCCACTTGACACCCTCAATTTGTCTTAACAAATTAATTCCCGCTCATTGTACCAAAAATGAGCCCAACAAGCTCAAGCAAAGATACAACCGGGATAAAGAATCTTAATTTTAACACTAGACTCTTTAATTTCTAACACCTTGATCATAAGTAAGCATCTTGACATGTCTTTAATACGATCCTCAACTGAACTTACAATTCTGCCATTGCAAAAGCATGTATCTCATCTTTTTTTCAGCAATTTTTGTTGTCAAATCCTCAGCAATTTTTAATTTCACAGTCCCCATTCCAACTTCGATGGAATTGAATTGAAAAGCAGAGAGAAATTCAATTATCAAACAGCATATTATTTGTTTACTAAATTATAGGAAAAGTAAAAAATTTTCAGAACAATAAAAAAAGAAGAAGAAGCAAAACTCAATTCAACAGTGAAAAAAAGAGCGACTCACTAGAGAAGCAATAAAAGCTAGTACTAGAGGTCGGGAGAGGTGCAGCAGAGTGTACCCTGAGAGAGCGCTCGGCAACTCCTCGATGTGGTGCTTAAGCATGATGTCATCCTGGACGCCGCCACCACACTGTGTAGTGGAAGCAGCGACTGAACGCATCCCAACTCACATGGAGCCCTACAGACACCAATAATAGTAATAATAATAATAATTAATTAAATAAATAAATTAAAAACAAAACACACCCATAAATACATACGGTTATGGATATATACGTATATGCATAAGAGGGTACCTGGAAAGGGAGAAACGAGGGGAGGTCGGTGGTTTGGATGGGAGAGCGAAGCGAGAAGCAGTGGCAGCTCTGGTGGGCATGGAGGGAGATGGAGGAACGTTCGATGACCTGATGGCTGATTTGACGGACGATAGATGTGATTTGGAGACAAATCTCCTGCAAGATGAGGAGAAAGCCATTGAGGGAAAATCAATAGCAATCTTCAATCTGATAGAAACTGGAAACGGAAGGAAAATGAAAGAAAGCCTGCCTTTGAGGGTTTAGGGTTTAGGAAGATCAGACCCCGTGGAAACCGGAAAGGAAGCTACTTTGGATCGGCTGTGATGGGCTGGGCTGGACCAGGCTTCGCTTAGTTGAATTGGGTTAGATCCAACATTAACTAGTAGCAGTCATAAATAAGGTTGAGCAAAATTTGATAAAAACCGAATAACTGAACCGAACCAAAATTGTTATTTCGGTTTTTGATGTTCGGTTTGGTTTTTAAATTTTACAATTGATTTAAATAAAAAACCGAAGTTTTTTTTTTTTTTAACCTATAAATAAAATTTTAAGTTTGCAATAGAGAATTTAACAAAAATCCCAACAGTTTATTGAAATCAAATTTCTCAATTTCCTTTCGACTTTCGTTCCCCAGTCCCAGCCTTCGCTCTTCACTCACTCCTCTGCAGGTAGAAACAAGGCAACCCATAAGTTGTTCACTTGCTGTTGCTATTTCTTCGAGAGAGAGAGAGAGAGAAAAGTAGAGATTCTTAGAAAGAGGGTGACTTCTCAAGGATAAAGATCTTAGCAAGTCCTGAGTCCTCTAAGGTACATGAGTAGGAAGTCATGGATATTTCATTTTCAATGTTGATAGTTCCTTTGGGTTTTTAGAAAGCTTGACAAAGAATTTTGAAAGGTCTTATGACTCTTATCAATCTCAGGTATATTATCTTAGAACTGTTTTTCTCTGTTTGTATTTGAAAGAGGATATTACAGTCTACAGAAGGCTTTTTTTCCCCATTCTTTCCTGTTTTAGTTTCTCTTCTTCCAAATAATAATATCAGAAATAGTATATGATTGGTGTAGTTACTTGTAATTGTTGGGATCATGTGTCTGTTAAATTAGGAATTAGTCTATTCTGTTGCCAGAGATGAGCCTAAACTTGCCTGAAAGAAATTATTGATTTATTATTTCAATATACGCTCATATTGGTTGGGAAGTTAAAGAACAAATCTATAGTGGGTTTTGGGTTAATGTTTTTTTGATTTAGGGATCCACAATTAGAAGGATTTTCCTATTTTGATTTTGACACACACTCTCGGAGACTCCAGGGCTTTGTTGTTTGGAGTTTGGATTGTGGTTTCTCCACTAAAAAATTCCAACTTGTTTAATTTTTTTGATCCTCAAGGCATTAATTTATAAGGCAAATGTCCAATGTTTGAAATTGCAATATACAAAGTCAGAAAATTAATAAAACAAGGAACTAATCCAGGTGCAGAGATGACTGTCCTTAAAAAAATAATAAAAAGAAAAAAACAACTACAAATTTATAGCTAATCTGGAAATTCATGGCAAAATTGGAATGCTGAGGATAGATGGCAATTTGTATGCTAAGGATTTAAGATGGTTGCGTCATCACATTTTTAGTGGTATAAAGTTTGTATTAGCCCAGGATGGCAGGATGTGGTGAATTTGGTGATACAAAGTAGATTATTTGACTTTATTCTATGGTGTCCCTCTAGAGCTACTTGGCAATTTTTCATATTTGTATGATGAACTCATTTTCGCTATGCAAACTGTTTAAGGTATGTTTGGGAAGCAAGCTATCTTGCTAACACTGAATATTGATTTAGGTCTAATTAATGATCACACTTCTAGTAAATACTAAATACCAAAGGAAAAAAAAGAATCCAATATGAACAAGTATATTTAGGATGTTCTTATCCTTGAATGTCCATGGTTTCTTTATTCATAAAAATCAATAAAATTACTTTCTATAATTTTTTATGTAGATGTCGCAGTTTGAAGAGATTAATGTTGAAATTATGGATTCAAGCAATCCAGAAGGACCAGAAGCAAGTGTAGCTCCAACTGACACACAAGCTGGCACAGGAGTGAAGAGGAAAGCAATTAAGCCTAGATCAATTGTGTGAGAGCATTTCACAAAGTTTGAAAATAAGAATAAAGACATCAAGGCTAAATAAAACTATTGTGATAAGATATTTGCTTGTCATCCTACAGGAAATGACACAACCACACTTAAATATCATATGTCTACATGCTAAAAACACCGTCATAGTTTTGACAATACACAAACTCGATTAAACCTTCATCCAAATGTAGAAGGAGACAACAATCTTAGCACATGGAAGATCAAATTGATCAAAATGGTGAAAGAATAGAAATGTCAAATGCAAATGAGGAAATAATTAGGTAAGAAGAGATGAGCATGAAATTGGACATGAGAATGCTTTTTAAAAAATTAAAGTGTGATAATGAAGGTGGAGAAAATAAATTGAAGTTGAATATGTATCTTGCTGAAAATTCCGAAGATGATAACTCTAATTTTAATTTTTCGTAAAAAGGTTTTCGAGTCAAAAACAATTTTTGACTTGATATCATTTTTTATAAATTCAGATATCATTTTTTCTTTTTTTATGTGTCTATCTCTCTCTATGGAGTAGATCCATAAAGTAATTACTGTATATATCACTAATACTCGTTGAGTATTATAAAATTTCTTCCTTTTTACATCAACTCACTTTTTATTCAAAAACCTTTTTACATCAATTATCTTCCCAATCTCTTTTGGACCAGCTTATACGGTAATAAAGACTAAATTCCTCGTTTATGAAAGTACACATCTACTACCGCAACTGAAACCATGCATAATGGTCGCGCACTCCACATTTGTTCAGTTTGAGTCCCTAATCATCTCCACATCATACAAGTCGTGCCTTCATGCACGACTTCAGGATCTGCTCAAGCAGAAAACAATTTTGAAGCTAAAACAGAACAATAATTGCGAAGACCCTTGGGGAAAATGTGCTAACCAGGCTTTTTTTATGCATAATCATTTTGGCAAGAAATGCCTTTCTGCACCATATATTTACTCTTGAACTTCATCGAAGTTTATATCCGAAGAGTGCCACGTCCATAGTCTGCAAATATAACAGATGAAAGTACACAATAATAACGATATGGCCATGTCAAGGGAACTGTACCCAACTCTGATTATACTATAGGCATGCACATCTTTGCAAATGCAGCTGTAAATTCGTAAGGTCATTGAAGCATCATCTCCACATCTATGCCATGTGTCTAGAGCACATCAAGAGCACCAATGCTTGTTTGACCATGCAACTGTATTACCCATATTTTTGTTGAGAACGAGCATCCTGAATTTTACAATGTCCACACAGAGGGGTCATTGTTCACTTCTGTGTTGAAGATCTTCACTGTTAGTTGTACTAGCTGAGGCCTTGTCAGATCATTTTCTCCATTTTCTTCTTCAAAGCCTTCTCAAAGTCACGATTTGATAATGCTAACATCCGGTTCAGCCCGAATTTGAGTCCACAATCCTTCACTAGAGCGTATCTTGGCTTTATCCTGCCTTCCAAACTGTAACTAAAATATTGAGGGAATCTGATGAGTGCTTCTTTTGGATAATCCATGCTCAAAAAGAATTCCCACTTTGGTTTCAAATTGTCGGCCAAGCTATAAATATATAAACCTCCAAATCTTGAAATCATAGCACCAACTTCCTTTTTACTGTATCCGCTTTCAAAGAAAAACTCAGTCACAGGCTTCAAATTGGCCTCAATACTAAGACCAAAAGTCTGTGGGCTCTGGTGAAGAAGAACAGCAACATTAACCCCTAGAGAACAAAAGTACTCTGCCGTGGGCCGTAGCTTGAGATTCACATTGTAACTTACGATGTTTGGGTAACGTGTTAGAATCTTACCAATGCTCTCAGCTGAGAGGCCTACCTCATGGAGGAAATCTACAGTTGTTTCAATTTTCTGCTTGCTATAAGCAAGGATCCCTGGAGAGCGATATAACACTGTTGACCATTTTCTTTTGTCCACACCCAAATTTTCTAAAAACAACATAGTCGGTATAAGATTTTCCTTGAGACTAATTCCACATAATTGAGGCCTTCTGGCAAGGATGGATTGAACATCTGATTTAGATAATCCAAGATCAAGGAGGAACTCAACCAGTGGCTTGATTTTCCCCTCCAAGCTGTAATATGCAAAAGAAGGGAATCTGTGTGTCATTCCCCTGATCTGCTCAAGGTCCATGCCAAGCTCTATGAGATAGAGAATATGAGGGGGAGTTGCCCTGCAGGACCTGCCTCACTCACTCTAGACACAGCTTTTAGCTTCTTGTAGTCATGAGCTGAACGAGATGGAGAAAAAGGTGCTGCAAGTTTAGCAGGTGACTTTGTAAAATTTTCCACTACTTCCACCAGATTGTTTTCATTCTCTTTGAGAAGAGCTTCAAGGGAAGTAATAAGAGCATCCCTGATTTCAGTTGCTGTGAGTACTTGTCCTGCAATAACAAGCAGAACTTCATTAGAGTAAACCAACTGAGAATCAAAAACTCAAATACATTTGTGACCAAATAGAAGCAATCGAACCTACTAAATACCAAGATTCATGAACAAAATGAAGCCTTGAGAGAAGGTGGTCAATGAAAAGGTCTGACTTGTTGATAGTTTCTGCAGCAACATCATTGCTGACACCTTGTTTCTTCAAGAACAATGTTAAGACAGCTTTGGCTTCATTTTTTGCTACTAACGGGTCTGGAGGCACCACTCTTGAACTGGATAATCCATCTATTCTAGAATCAACTTTAGTCATATCAAAAGAAAGTTGTCAGTGCACAAAGGAGAACGGGTAACTTGCAATTATGCACAACTTTTTGCTTTTAAATGGAAGTCAAATTAGCATTATAAAGAACATTCATGAGACATCAAGAAGCAACTCCTTACCAAACTTTGCTCGGGAAAAGAAGACTTTCCTAGGAAAAGAGGGTGGAGTCCTGAGGAAAAATAACGCAAAGTGAACAATCTAGCCAATGAGGATGGGAAACATAGAGTGAAAAGTTATATGTGCAGAATACCCCTTCAAAAATTTGCTTGAACAAAAAACAGTCTCCAAGATGTCTATTAACTATTATGATCAATGCAAAATGAAAAAACAAAAAGAATACTCAACTTCATTTGTTCTATTTGGAAAGAAAAATCTAATTAGGCTTCCGTTTTACTCAAAATGACACTGTTAAGGTAAATACAGGTTTTACCTTCAAATATAAAAGAGTGATTGAGATGAAATCACAATGTTCATGCTCTTACACTATATATTGTATTTGATTGTCAAGAACAAATATTAAAAAACTAAGTACAATTAATATAGCATCAACAAAACTAAATAGTGACAACAAATGTTAATATCTTTAGCAAATGCATTATAACATCTTGCAACGAATCTACAAATTATAAAATGTTTTTGCATGAAGGATATAGAAATAGGGTCACAATTATTTTGGAAAAATCATTTGAGAAACTGATCTTGTCCCAGGTTCCATCCATTCAAAACTCTGCTCGGTCTACAGATTGAAAGTCTAAACACCTCATGGTGCTAAGCAACTGGGCATGCATCATTGCATTGTACTTACTCATAAAACTAGAGATGAATAGACAAAGGTGGGACTCGAACCTATAATCACCTTTTCCAAGAAAGAAAGGATCTGAAATATATGTGCAAACTGAAATCTACTATCCTTTGAGCAAATTTTGAACAAACAGGCTGTGTTGAAAACCTGAACTTCCAGTCTTGCACCCATTTGGCTGCAGCAATGCAAGTTTCAGGTTTTCATAATTGCAAATACTTCAAAATCAGAGCACTCTTTTGGCAAGAACTCAACCACCCAGAAAGAGTGTAACAAATATAAAATAGGTGTATAACTTTGCAGCATGCCATTTAACCGTATTAATATTAATCCAGTCCTTAGTTTTGAAAACCCAGAAGCAGTTGGGTGCCCAGTGTTGCAATATGCAAGTTACATGAACCTTAATCAACTGATTGCTCTTATATGTACTGTAAAAGAGACTCTTTTTTTTTTTTTTTTTGTGAATATAAAGAATCTACGTAGACAAGGTTGTAAGAAAGAAAGAATACCTGGAAATAGACAAAAAACCTACGGTGACCTCCGTGTTGCAGGTGGAACTGAAAGCTCTCATTTTTTAACTGGTAAGAGAATCTTTAAGTATTTATGCTTCAGACCGAGAGGAAGAGGAAGAGGGCGAGGGAGTTTCTGGTTATAGATTTTTTGTCTTAAAGTTTTTTTTATCACTTAGCTAAAAAGCCTAAAATTATCTTCTGGACCCTTTGTGTTTTGTGTTAAAAGGTAAAGCATGTCCTTTGACTTTTTTATTTGAGTTCATCCTATCTTTCAATTAATTTTTTCAATAATCATATTTCCTTATTCTTAATTTACATATTAATTTTGCATCAATTTTCAGTGACAGACTCATATAATACTGACATGTAGTATTTTTGTTAAAAAAAAAAAAATCTGAAAAAAAGAAAATTTCCAAAATGTCCTCCTTTTTTTCTACCTTTATGTATAAAATAATTAATTTATTTAATTTCTCGATTTTTTTTTAGCTTTTTCTCAAATTCAAACTCAAAAAAGAAAATTTTTTATGTATAGAAAAGAACATAAGCAAATTTTTTTTTATTTATTTCAGAAATTTATTATGAAAGTTTATTTCAAATCCAAACCCCTAAAAAAATTATGAAAACATAAGAATAAAAATAAAAAGCAGATAAAAAGGAATGCATTTTAGTATTTTGTAATTATTTTTATGTATAGGAAAGAACATAAGAATTTTTTTTTATTTTAGACATTTATTATGAAATTTTATTTCAAATCCAAAAAAAAAAATATGAAATTTTTTTCATAACATAAGAATAAAAGCAAAAGGCAGATAAAAAGAAAGACATTTCAGGAATTTTTTTTTTCAGAATTTGAGAGAAAAAAATTGAAAGATGAAATTAATTATTTATTTCTATACCTAAAGACAAATAAAAAGAGGAGCATTTTGGAATTTTTTAAAAATTATTTAATTATAATTTTTTTTATAAAAACGTCAAGTGATTATTAAAACTTCAAAGAATTTTTTTTAAAAAAAAACTAGCAATGAGATAATTGCATTATATATACATTAACTTTTAACTTTTTCTCAATAGAATATATGAATTTTATTTTTTTCATTAATTTTTTCAAAAATATTAATAAAATATTTTTGTCAATTATTTCATTAACTAATGACGTGTCTCGTTACCTTAGAATATCAAATTATAATTTGTTCCCAATTGAGTACATGAACTTTAATTTTTTCTGTTTGAGTAGTTTAATTTTTTCAAAACCGTTAATCAATTTCTTCATTAACCGATGACGTATCCGAATACCAAATTATTATTTTTTTCTTTGTTTTGTTGTAAGAACTTTTTCTCTAAATTATTTTACTATTTTAAATTTTTGACAAAGAATTAAAAAAATTATTTTTTAATTATAAAATCTAGAACTGAACTTAGTTAGGCTTGCTGTAAAAAAAAAAAAAAAAAAGGTTTTAGGCATAAAAGTAAAAGAAAACACAAACATGATATGTTTCATTAAAAAATTCGTTTTTATTTTCCTTCAATTTTCACTCCTAAACATAATTGAGTTTTTTTTTTTTTTTAGATTTTGCGTTATTTTTTAATGAAAAATTAATAGATAATTTAAATCTCAAAAAAAATATAAAGTTTAGGAATTTCAAAATTAATTTTGAAGTTTAGAGATTCAACTTTAAACGAGTTAAACTTTAAGAATGATCAGATGTATCTAACCTAAATAGAATGATTCTATACTATGCTAGCATTTTTATTTTTATTTTTATTTTTTTGGTGAGAATTATGGTGACATTACATTTTAGTAAAATCCCATAAAGAAAGTACAGTAAATGAAAAAATTTGTGATTGTTTGAATACTAAAAAATGTTGACTGTTTGCATCCTCTTATGGTGCATTAACGTGTGTATTATTGTTGCAGCCAAAATTATTTGTTCAAAAGCCCCTGGTACTAGGGATGTTAACCATTGGATGGCAGTATGGATTACGCATTTGAAATGTTCCTGATTGGGACAATAGTTGGTACAAGGGCCAATTCCCACGAATAGGTGCAAGAAACCTGGGACAAAACCAACCTATCATGGCAGAAAAATAATTGATGTAATTCACAAAAGCATTTATGTGAAAATCGAAAGAGAGGATGAAACAGATTAAAAATGATGGACACAAAGGAAAAACTGGATAACAAAATTCATTTCTAGCTGCAAGATGCTTGCAAGATAAAACAAAATGTATTCACTATGCATCCACGCTAACCTTTGAAATCGATCCCCAGAACACAGTTCGGAACCAAGTATGACGAAACCAGACATTTTATATGCTGGACCATTACTCCCACACATACAATCCTACACCACAATATACTTTAAAATGTTAATAAAGTTTCTCCCGAGAATGCTTCAGTTCCAGCAGATTTATGTTTTCGCTTTCAGGATTTCATCCTTCTTGACGGAAAGAGACCAGCTCCAGCTATATTATACGCATCACTTCCTGTAAATTCATATTGAAATACCTCAGCATATATGCTCCATTATCATTGGGGGATTTACGTCTAAAGCACATCAAGAGCATTGATTGTTTTTTTTTTTTTCTTTTGACCAAGCAAATGTATGTCACCGACTTCGGGAGTGGGCCATGACCGATATGAGAATCGAGAAAATCGTAAGGCCCACTTCGAATCAAGCAAGCTTTGAACATCTAATCTATAATCCTCGAATATCTAAACTTAAATCCTATAACTTATATTACATCAAACATCATTTCGTTTTACAATAATCCAACTTATCTTTAACACAAATCATAATGCAATGTTATTTTTGCATTTCTCAAATCAATACTCAAAATCAATTTCTAATACAACTCTCACAAGTTATAACCGTAGAGCTTTTAAGAATTACAACAAAATCAAACACAAGTTCTATGAGATTAGAAATAAATAAACCGTACGATCAATGTGCCGACTTCAAGACAAGCAAGTTGAATGGAAGCTAAAAGGGCAATCCCACAATGCCCCGCAAGACCGAAGATAGTGAAGGGTAAGCAAATCAACGACTCGATGAGTAGATACTATACAATATAATAAGGAAGGAAAACAAACTAAGGATGATAACTTAAAATTCAAATTGAGATGCAATGCTTATTTCTCCAAAACAAACGTATATCACAAGTATCAAATCGTATATCGTAACTTAAATGGTTCAAAAATAATTCTTATCAAATCATCGAAACATGTATATAGATATATATACCATAATCAAATCAAGCCACATATCTAGGTTTTAATAATTCTTGGGGTGAAAATATAACGTATCATTGGATGCGAACACCCATAGGTCACGTCTCTCATGACTAGGTTTTCAATTGTTGGTGGACACACGGACTAGCTCTTTATCTCTCTTATTAGCTGAAGCCTCGGATCATTGAGCTCAAAAGCTACACCCCGTAGCTAGACACCCTAAGGTAACGAAATCATTTCAAAAGTGTATAAGCTTTATACATATTCGAATCTAATATATCAAAACAATGCATGCTCAAATCATATTTGATGGTGCAATTCAATATCAATAAGCACTTGTAAAATTATACGAATAATCAAAATAATAGTCTAAAGTAAATCAGCATTTAAATCCATAATTTCATATCAAATCATAAATAAAACACTTGTTCAAACCCCTTTATAAATCATATCTAATCACTTTCGACTCGAAATCATTTCAAACGCACAAGGATCTATTCCCATTTAAGTTCTAATGAATGTGCATAAATCATCGACAAATCGATGATACATGGCAGAAATATCAAGGAATTTAAAAGCATAACATGCTATATAATATCTACTCACCGTACAAACAAATAATCGAATGGAATCAAAGTAGTTTTAATGGAGTCACCCGCTTCGAGGAATCTAATAACACAAGATGATGGAATAACCATCAATATCACATATCAAGGAATAATTTAAAACAAATGAATTATTCTAGGAATAGGAATACAAGATTATCTATAAGGATGGAATTGATCAAAAGACTCAAAAATATGACTTTAACTAAACTCTATAATCTCTTCGACAAATCTAAACAATTGCCTCACAACATCCCATCATCAATCCCCAATTCAATCAATTTTTATACATACAATTTTTCTCAAATTCAATTCAAACCTTTCAACAATCAATTTTTAATTAAATTATTAATTTCGTTCTAATTCACTCAATTCTCATTTCATTCATCTTTAATTGTGTTTATATGACTTAATCTCTCATTTTTATCAAATTCTTTTCAATTCAAAACCCAATTTTGGATTTTTCATCATTCATCATCTTCAACCTCTCAATTAATCAAATTTACTCAATTCAACTTCAATTCAACCTCATAAACCACTTACCTAAGATAATGAAACATCATTTAATCAATTAGAATCATTTAATCAATTTTTGTCTAAATGGGTCTCAAAATCCTAACATCAATCTAACTCAATTTTTCATTCAAACAACTAACTCAATGCAATCTAACTTCAAAAAATAATCAATAACTACATATATACATTCCAATTTAAAGACCAAATGATGAAATTTCTTATCTTTGACAATTTGCTCTTCAATCCTCAATTCAATCTTACTCTCCAAGCTTCAACTAGCTAAACTCCACTTAAATCTACTTGTTTATGATTTTTCTAAACTAGTTTAACAAAGTCTTAGTTTAAGATTTGGAATAGAAGGAAGAAAATTAGAAAGAAAGCTTCATGAGAGAGAAGAAAAGGAAGAAAAAAAATGAAAAAGGGACGAGTTGTTGTCCCTTTACACACACACACATACACATACACACACACACCTACATATACACACACACACTAACTTAAATATCATTTTAAGTTGCGTTATTACATTATCCTCCTTAAGAAAATCCATCCTCAAATTTGATAATAACCGTACCTTAGTAAGTGAACAAGCGAGGATATTTCCTCTTCATTTCCTCCTCTCGCTTCCTAAGTGGTTTCTCCGATCAAATGGTTCCTCTAAATGACCTTAACGAATATAATCTTCTTATTGTATAATTTTTTAACTTGACGATCTACTATTACCACCAGTTGCTCCTTATATGATAAGTCATGATTGAATCCACCAATTGCGATCCTAAGATATGAAATTGGTAAGGTACATATTTCCTTAGTATAGAAATATGAAACATGTACACTAAAAAATTATGGCGTCAATGCGAACTCATCGACCACCGCTCCAATTAAGCTAATGAGCCCAAATGGTCCAATATACCTCGGGCTCAACTTTCCCTTCTTGCCAAACCACATTACTCCCTTCATTAGAGAAACTTGAAGAGATATAAAATCACCATTTTAAAACTCCACATGTCTCCTCTTAGGGTGTGTATAACTCTTTTATCTACTATGTGTAGTCCTAAGGCATTATTAGATCAAATTCACCTTCTTAGTAGTAAGTCGAATCAATTCTAGCCCTAAGGGTTCCTTCTCCCTTGCTTCAATCCAACATATTGGTGATTCACACTTTCATCCATACAACTCCTCACATAAGTCCATACCGATACTAGAGAGATAACCGTTATTGTATGAGAATTCTATTAATTATAAGTGACGATCCCAATAACGTCTCAAATCCATCACACATACTCTAAACATATCTCTACAGATCCGAATCATCCTTTTTAACTTACCATTTGTTCGAGGAAAATCCGATCTCGTACCGAGTGCCTTTTATAATTTTCTTTAGAATCAAGAAGTAAATCGGGTACCTCGATTTAAAATGATGGAGATTGAAATATTGTATAAGGACATTATCCGATCAATATATAGTTGGACATATTGAGCATACCCATAAGTGGTCTTCACAAGTAGAAAATAGGCGAGACTTAGTTAATCGATCCATAATAACTAAAATTGAATCATAACCTCTTTGGGTTCGAGGCAAACCCGTCACAAAATCCATTGTCACTTTCTTCCACTTCCAATCTAATAGTGGCAACTCTTGTAACTTTTTTGTCGGCTTCGATGCTCATATGTTACTTACTAACAAGTCAAGCACGAAGAAACAAACTTCATAATATCTTTTTTTATTTCAGTTCACTAATAGTGTTCATGAAGATCATTATATATCTTGATATAACTAGGATGTACAAAATAGGCTGCATTATGAGCCCCTTTCAAAATTTATTCGTGTAACCGTGAAGCCCTCGGCTCCCTTACCTATTACCTAATAAGCATGACCAGCGCGACACTATCGTTGGGACTAAGTCCCCTACTTCCTTCATCATACACAACGAAACTAAACCATGGGAAACGTATGATATAATTTACAACATTATTACGGATAGTTCTATAATTTATAAAATATTTAAAATGTCTAAAAATTTACGTCCTAGGCCCGTACCCCTTTTTAATGACACAAAAGATATTCTTATTTTTATGAGTGACACAAAAGCCTCTTTTAGCGAGAACCGATAGCATCCTCGATCGACTTAACTTTGTCCTTGTCCGAACAACACACAAATACAATAACGAGAATGAGCCAAAGCTCGGCAAATAGGGTGACGCACGTGATATGCAATGCTATTGTGTTTTCTATATTTTTATCCATTTTAATCCGGTACCTTAGGTATATGCAAGTCCGTGCGCCCAAACTCTCGGTGATCGTGTTATCACCTACTACTCTATTACTTTCTCTCGGTTATCTCAATATCACCTATCGCTCGTAACGGAATTATCCCTCGTTGTAGCACACGGTTAGCGAAATTATTCCTCGCTTAAGAGTGTTAGTAAATAGAGCTTGCACTATGTATTCCTTGCTATTACCCAATCAACTCAATTCGGCTACCAAACCGTGTCAATTCAAGACTCAATGATTTTTCTTAATTTATTTCCACCCCTAATGCACATGATGCACGTGATGACATGTTTAATCATATTCAACCAAACTCGGGTACCGACCACTTTTTCTCAAGCCATACTTATGGTCCAACCATTACTCGGGACTCACTTGGTGGTCACATACCAATCATGGTACTCATAGCGAGAACACAAACTCCGCTCATTAATATTGTTCATTAGTTTCATTAATAATTAAAGAAGGTCCAATTTTTTTTATTTCCTGTCCGAAAGAATAAATTTTCTTTAAAATTTTAAAATTCTTTTTATTTCTATCTAAGTCCACTTATTTTAGCCTAAGCCCATTTTCATTAGTCTAAGCCCATTTACTTTAAAACCAAGCCTTTTGATTTTAGTCCAAGTCCATTAACAAGTTTATCTTATTTAAGTCCAAGCCCATTAACATTAATCCAAGCCCAAGTCCATTTGTTTTAATCTAAGTCCACTTTATTTTTAAATCCAAGCCCATCTCATTTTAACTCAAGTCCAAGCCCATTAACATTAATCCAAGCCCATTTATTTTAACCCAAGCCCAAGTCCATTTGTTTTAATTTAAGTCCACTTTATTTTTAAATCCAAGCCTATTTATTTGAATCCAAGCCCAAGTCCATTTGTTTTAATCTAAGTCCACTTTATTTTTAAATCCAAGCCCATCTCATTTTAATTCAAGTCCAAGCCCA